CTGTGCCGTCGGTGGGGCTCTCCATCAATCAGTCTTTTTGCAACAAGGCTCAATTACAAATGCATGATATTCTGCTCCAGAACCTGGTTGGACAACCACTCGATCGGGGACGCATTCATGGTGGACTGGTCTAAGGATTTCCTTTATCTGTTTCCATCAATACCGCTCATCCAGCGTACAATCATTCGGATTCGACAGTTCAAGGGTCATGTGATTCTCATAGCCCCGAAGTTGGCCCCAACAGCCCTGGTTCACTCACCTAACATCGATGTCCACAGACCGGGTCTATCTTCCTCTAATCCCAGATCTTCTGACTTTCAATCAAGGCATGATCGACCATCCAAACCTGACCTCTCTCAATCTTACAGCATGGAAGATATCCCAGAGGTGATGGAAGTCTTATAACGGGCAATTAAACCTTTGACTCTCTCCTTATATAAAAATAAATGGAAATTATCAAGTACACCAACAATAAGAACTTACCTGCTGTACCTGTTTCACTTAGTACCTTACTTACCTTCCTCCTCCATCTCTTCGAACTTGGCCTGTCATTATCCACTGTGAGGCTATACATTTCTGCCATTGTTGCCCACCAACCCGACAACTCCCCTTCTGAGAAACTATTCTCACACCCTACTGTCAAGAAATTTCTCAAGGGACTCAAAAACATTCGCCCACCACATCAGCGTATTATACCACAATGGTCTGTCCAGACAGTGCTAAACGCCTTAATGCGTCCACCATTTGAACCCATGTCATCTTCAAGCCTGCAGTTACTTACCTGTAAAACAGTGTTCCTTGTAGCTAACACGTCAGCAAAAAGAGCTAGTGAACTTGCCGCCCTTCAATGCGACCCACTCTTTACCCAGTTTCACCCTGACAAAATGACATTGTACTTTGATGTGTCCTTTCTACCAAAAGTGGTTTCTGATTTTCATATCAACCAACCCATTATCTTGCCATCCTTCTTTAAATCCCCAACGTCTCCACTAGAGCATATGCTCCATATTTTGGATATCAGGAGGGCCCTATCATTTTACTTAAACAGGACTAAGTCCTACAGGAGGTCCAATAGACTCTTCATTGGCTTTAATGGCCCCCACAAGGGAGCCCCTGCATTGTCTCAATCCATCTCTAGATGGATCATTTACACCATCTCTCTAACCTATAAGCTTTCGGGAAAGTCACCTTCTGAACACCTTAAGGCTCATTCAACAACAGCCTATCCACTTCGGTTGCCTTCCATCGTGGAACCGAGATCCCAGACATCTGCCGGGCTGCTACATGGTCCACACCGTCGACCTTCATCAAGCACTACTGGCTAGATGTTAGAGCAAGACAAGATCCTTCATTCGGCAGAGCTGTGTTGGCATCTTTCCTCCCATGACGTCCCACCTGTCGGTAAGTGAAGCTTGCTAGTTACCCATATGTGTGCATTCACAGAGGCCACGAAGAAGAAAGAGAGGTTACCTACCTGTAACCATAGTTCTTTGAGTGGTCCTCTGTGAATTCACACTACCCACCCATCCTCCCCTCTCTCCGTCACGGTTTACTTAAATTTCTACTCTTATAACACCTGATGGGGAAAAAAAATCTAGGAACTGAGGGGAATGGAGGGTGGTAGTAAATTGTTACTTTCAGCTCTAGAATCTTTCGAGAACGTCAGCACAGGTGCAGACAAGACCCATACATGTGAATTCACAGAGGCTCACTCGAAGAACTATGGTTACAGGTAGGTAACCTCTCTATTCTAGTGTCGACAGCATGGTCTAGCTGTACATCCTTTCTATCCTTGGCCAAATACAGAAGCTCTTTGTTAACTAAATTAGGGTGTCTTTACAGAGAAAAAGAACCTGTGGCTGTACTGCTTGGACTAAAAGCATGTGAGCAAGTAGTGTTTCTCAAATAGAAACCCAGAAATGGGAGTTTGTTACAAGGGCCCCCATTATGATGTCCCGTTTCCTAATCAGAGGAATAACTTGCAGCAGAGAGCAGCTGTTTTGCATTCTTGCTCACCCGCTGATGTTGCCTTGGATTAAAAGACCACAAAACACTTTGGATTCTGCAGCGATCAAGTGTCCCTTGTCACACTCCAAACAAACTATGGCCAAAATCCTGTTAGTAAGTCAAGTTTTCTGTAAGATCCATTGATTCAAATGGGCCTACTCTAACTGGAACGTACTATGCTAAAGTCTCTATGTCCCCACTCTCTTTAAACTTGTCACTTGATGTGTTAGATCTGGGCTCTCCCACAGCTCAAAGGAACAAACATATTTGAATATTCTTCTCTTCACCAATCATTGACACCAACCTGAAGTTGCTCTTATGTGTCTGTTATTGCCACTCTCACTCTGGCATTTCTTACTTTTACCACATAGCTAAGCCTCAAGTAATCAATACACTACATCACTTGACAAGAACTAAATCAAATAACTTTTATTACAGAAATAGTTACAGTAAATTGTAGTTTTACCTTATCTAATTCTTACTCGTATTCCTGTTCTTTTCAGTTCAGTTCTCTCAGACTCTACTCAGAGACTCATAGAGTAATGGAGCTGAAAGGGACCTATAAAGCCAGTCAGCTGAACCCCATGCTTAGTGCAGGAATCCAAGAGAGAAGCCTTTGCACAGGGAGGGTTCTGTGCTCAACTGGTGTGAAACCCAGACAGGCAGTCAGCAATCTCCCTTCTTATCCAGCTAATCCAAACCATTCTCACCAACATTCCATGTTCCATACTTGCCCCATCTCCCACATGTTTATTATCTTTATGTATTCTAAGCAAGTCATATAATTGTGTTTACATAAAACACATTTAACACAACTAAACATCACACTCCTCTCATCAAGGAATGATGGAAAGAAATGACAAAAATCCTGTGAAGCCTCAAGAGCATTGTGTGAAGTTCTAAATCATGAAGTTGCCTCCACCATCAAGTGACATGTTGATGCTGGCTGAAGAGGGGCTTATAATGCACCATAGTGGCAGTACAACAATGAAGCTAAGCAATTCTTACAAAGAGAAAACGAATTAAACGTTTGAGATTTTTTTTTTCAAGTTCAGAAATAAAAAATGTTTAAAAAAAGATGATGTGACTGGAATTTGCCAACTTATTCATTGTAGAAAAATGGATAGAAGTATCCTTTTTTCCTCTTACCACACAAGAATTCTGGGAGCCTCTCATGAAACTGATTGGCATATGATTCAGATCAGAGTAAATAAACTAACTTTCACACATTGGCTGAAATCCTGTTCCACATGCACAATGGTGATTATGTCATTTTCATTGGCAAATCACATCTGAATAAGTCAAATCCCTGCTGATTGAAGACAGTTTTGAAATGTACATAACTCATGCACAGTGTGATACAGTTGTGTGCATCCTGAAATTGCAAAGGAAACCTTTAATCAGTGATTTCCTGCCATTGCTGATGTCATCCCTGTTGTGCCCACAGAACTGTGCAACAGGATTTCAGGTGATACGTAATTTGTGGCATTAGCTGATACTTGCTTTATGACTTTAGGAAAGAATTAATCAAAATTGAGAGGCTAGATTTGTTAGTTATAGGAATGGATGGTTTTACCCAGCCTGGTGGTCTAGATAGTGGATTCTGGGAATGACAATCCATCACTTCATGAACTTTCCAAACTCAGTTTGAGGCAACAGTACCACTGAATATCAACTGTTAGAGAACAGCATTGAGAAAGAGCTGTTGTCATTATTTCCTGATCATGGGCTTTGTATAAATGTCTGACTGGCCTCTGTGGAAAGCATGATCTTGGGTTAAATGACTGTTAGGCCTCATCAAGTTTTTTTTCTTTTGTTTTGTTGTGTGCCATTAAGTCTCTTCTGCCTTAAAAAAAGGCCCTACTAGGGTGTCTTAGTTTGTGACATGTTGGAGTGGTCAACTATTGCCATCCCGCAAGTGAATTTCCACAGTTGAGCAGTGATTTGAACACAGATCTTCTGAATCCTAGCCTTGACACTGTCTACTACACCATGTCAGTTTTCATCCAGTATGACTATTTTATGTGTATTTTATCCTAATACTAAATGGAAAAATAGCATAGGCTTACACATGTATAGAAACTGAATGTACATTGTGATTGGTTGTTAATCAGTGGTCATATTGGTAATCAAAATATATATCTGTTTCCTCATGGAACCTGCTTTGAGTAGGCTTGCTACTCCCTGATCAGTAATTCTTTTTAGTTGTGTTTGCTTAATGACACATTTTAAGCCTGTATAAGTGGTTTTTATTGTTTTTAGCTGATTACAATATGTCTGCTATTTTTTTAAAAACTTCATAAGTGACACCTCTAAAATGCCCTACATCTCATTTTTCTTTCTGATTCCTGCAAAGATACGCTATTGTACAGTTAAACTATGCTAGTAGCTAATAATAGTTTAACTGTACAATAGCGTATCTTTGCAGGAATCAGAAAGAAAAATGAGATGTAGGGCATTTTAGAGGTGTCACTTAACGAAGTTTTGTTTTTGTTTTTTTAAAATAGACGTATTGTAAGTATACTGGCAGCTAATAATTTGACCAAACTCCAGGAGGCAGTGGAAGACAGGAGGGCCTGTCATGATTTGGTCCATGGGGTCACAAAGAGTCAGACAGGACTTAACGACTAAACAACAAGAACAACAAGCAGCTAATAAATAGTTACTTTGCACTATCAGCTTACAGTGTATTGAATTCTTTGCTCTAGGTTTTTTTTTTTAATGCAGGTAATATGCACCTTTACTCCCTTAGGTCCCAGTGAACTTGGAATAACTGAAGAGAAATTTGTTTAGTCTTGACACTGCACAATTAAAAATGAATGGTTTCACAAACCTTCACAATATCTGGTCACCTCTCATCAACTTGTGTTCTTGTTTCTTCTTTAGTAAGATAGATTCTTTTCTTAAAATATAGATACTGTATAATGTATCAAAGTTAATTGCCATTAACTGTACAATATCAATGTGTGTATATGTTCTTTCTTTATTTAAAGCCTGAGACAGCTGCAACACTGAAACGCACAGTTGGAGCTCTGATGGAGAAGGGAGCAGTAGTAAGGAATTTGGAAAACCTGGGAGAAAGACAACTGCCATATCGGATCTTAAAGCATGATGCACATCACAACAGAGGAGGGTATGAGTTACATTAGCCTGACATCTAGTTATCTAGTTTGTGTAGACCTTTGTTAAACAATTGTGCAGGGCCGTGATTGAAAAAAGCAATAGGAACATACAGAAGCATGAGGTATGCAGCTGTGGCATGGGAGTTATCCCAGCAACTCTTCAAACTGCTTAACAGAGGATCTAGTCATCAGTTCTCTGTATATGTGTTATATGTGTTGGATTGCAGCTGAAATTCTGACATCATTGATAAGATCCTCTAACTTTACAATAAGAAATTAGTGTAATTTATATATCCATGTCTTTCCACATTTAAAATTTTATCTCTATCCTGATTTCTTCACAACACATACTTGTATAGCATGTGTTTTAACAACTGCTAAAAATACACAAGTATTTGGGCAGAGAATTGTTCAGACTGATTTGCCATTTAAATAGGCTTATGATTACTTTTTTCACAGCAGCACTGTAAATATACCACACATTCCTGTGCCTTTTTCTTCAGAAGTAAGCTTCATTGGTTTCAGAGAGACGTACTCCCAGCTGAGATGTGCATAAGACTATAGATTTAGCTGCTAATGTGTCCTTCACAGTTACTTGGTTCAGAGAGATGTCTTTTGCTTGCTTTTTTATTCTGTGCTAAATATTTTTTTCCAAAGAATTAATTACTTGAAAGATACTATTTATTTTCTTTTGCTTGTGTATTGGTTCAGGCTTGATTCATTCCCTTTCATTCATCTGAACTGAAGTATAGTTTTGAGGCTATTCATGGTACAGTGCTGAATAAAGCTAACTATGCGTGATTGAAAGAACAAAAGCATTATTGTTATAGCATCTTAATAATAATTATGTACTGTGAAGTGAATTCTGCTTTTTTATTACTCTCTCCAGGGTTTTCTAGATATAGAGTACTCACAAATAGTTTACCATTCCCTTCTTCTGGGGGCATTCTGGAACGTGCAGCTTGCCCAAGGCTGCACAGGCTGGCCCTTCTCCCAAGGGGCACAGTCCCCTTAGGTATACATCAAGATACAGTACCTAACTCACCGAGCGATCCGGCTACTTAATTTGAGTCAGATGGCTTGGGAGGGAAGAAAACCAGTGCCAGTATTTGCTTTTTATTACCAACAAATACTTTATTGGTATATTGAGAACAGAATGCGGGATGTATAATCCAATTGCTTAATATTGGATTTATTTTATTTTTGGTTGTCACTGTTAAAATTCCCCGACACGTTTTGAAAGAAAACTGCTGCTCAAGAAGGTTGGAGAAATGTTGCTTGGCAACTGTGATTCCACTGCACCAGCATTCAGTAATCAAAATAAGAATTTGCAATCTTTTTTACTAGCAGTTTAAGATACAGATGTGCATAACTTGTTGGGCAGTCTGTGCACCTTGTCCTTTTTCACTTACAGATATGTCAGATGGTAGTACTGAACAAATTGCTGTGATGCATCTCGAAAATAGAAGCTGCTCCAACATTAATTTGGATTTTCAGAGCCTATTTTCTTTCAAAAAAACAAAACAAACAAGTAATATGCAGATTGCTAAACAAGCCAGCAGGTGCGTCTTCCTTAAGAATAAGATAACTTTTGAAAAGAAAATGACAAGAAAAAACAGAAAAAGAAAAACTGCCCCTTCAAACCCTAAAGGGTTTTTCCCTTTTAAAAAGATACTTCACTATAGATGACAGATATATGATTTATCATGAGTAGGAGATTGGTTATCATTGTTTGTCTGTAGAATTTGGTAGCGCATACAAAGGGAGCTAGTACTGTTTCCATGATGTTGCAGCCACCTGAATGGACTACTTTTTTAAGACTACAACTCCCAGAATTCTTGGTTAGAAGTTGTCAGTTAGCCATGGTGGCTGGAGGGATTCTGGGGAGTTGTAACTAAAAGTATCTTTTTCAGACTTTGGTTTTTCCCACTCCATTCAAAAGTTACACAAAGAAAATGTGTCTCTTTAGTGAAAATTTGAAGGTGTGCAATCAGAGCCAAAGCAAACATTTTGCTGTGGTTGTTTCATCATTTTCCACATCCTGCAGTACCCTGCTTGGGGTACATCTTGTATTTCCAGATGTGGTCTTGTGCTTTGCCAAGCATGTAAATACATAAGCCACACTTGCTGCATAAAACACAACCAAGATTGGCATCAGTGAGTAGACACGAATAGGACTGTCCACTAACAGTTTTGTTAACATCTGCTTTACTATGTTAGTAGTAATTAGGCTTAAATAGTAACTGGTTATCTAAATAATAGGCGTAAGCATTTAAAGACATATTTAGGACACAATTCTGTACCATGGGGAAAATGTGGTCCTCCAGTTATCGTTTCATCAGGCCTAGCCAGCAGAGCTGTACAAAGAGCGGTTTCCCCTGTGTCAGAGCCCCTCCACACTTGGGACGTGGTGGTGCTGCAGGCTAAACCGCAGAAGTCTGTGCTGCAGGGTCAAAAGACCAAGCAGTCATATGATCGAATCCACGCGACGGAGTGAGTTCCTGTCGCTTGTCCCAGCTCCCACCAACCTAGCGGTTCGAAAGCATGGAAATGCGAGTAGATCAATAGGGACCACTTTGGTGGGAAGGTAACAGCGTTCCGTGTCTGAGTTATGTGACCATGGAAGATTGTCTTCGGACAAACGCTGGCTCTATGGCTTGGAAACAGGGATGAGGACCGCCCCCTAGAGTCGAACACGACTGGACAAAAATTGTCAAGGGGAACCTTTACCTTTACCTTTACCTAGAGCCCCTCCGTTGCAGCGCTGGAATCTGCTGCTGGTTTTATTCTAGACGTCTTCTTCTGGGCCAAGGAGTATTGACCTGGAAAACCCTCTCTTCACTTTATTTTGTAGAGAATACATTCAGTCCACAAGGCTCTCTCACATGCAGACCAGTTCTAACTGTGTTTTTAAAAGATCATTTTATTTTATTTTTCCCCATAGGTGTTTACTATAAGTGTCTGACACCTCTGGGATTCCTAGTTTGGTTCTTGCTATTTTTCCTCCCAGCCTCACAATCTCTGGTATTCATCTTAACTTCATAAGGCTTCTGTGTTAGAATCTAAAAATTACTCTGGCATAATAAGATGCTGAAGATCACTCTTTTTAAAAGCATGGAAATTTTTCTGGCCACTGCCTTAACCGGGTTCTCCCTTGGGTACTTTGTTGAACTAGATCTGCTGAGAACTGTTCTCCCTGTAGGATTCCAAAGCAAGCTTTAGCCCAGGTGCTTCACTGGTGCTGATTAAGTTTTTTTAAAAAACCCATTTGCCAATACATTTGTTAGTAGGTTTAAAACTGAAAAAATAAATCTCAGTTTGGGTATAATTAGATGATGTCCAGCCCTCCTTTTTAAAATACCTATTTCTTTGATCTGAATTATGTGTTCAATGGATTTTTCAGTTAGTTCTTCACAGTGCTGATATTATAATAAAGGGAAAATATTATTCTATATTTTAATTGTCCTTTTATTGATCATGCTCCCAGGTAACCAAAATATGGCTTTTACAATGAAACAGTGGAAATTTCCTGATTTGTTCATTTCATGCTCCGAATATCTTCTGTTAGAAGCATTGTTTATTCAGTTTCCTTGGATCTCTAGATATTTCTTCAACTTGCTTTCTCCCCACACCCATCTCCAGACCATACCACTTGGCCATGTGAAAAGCTGCAATACTTGCATATCTATTCACAGGGCATTGTTTTAAATTAAGGCAAAGGTAATGCAGCTTTGCATGTTCATAGAATTGCCAGGGAGCTCACACTGTGGTTGCTATTGGCTTCTGGTGATAGGCAGAGTTCCAGCACAGCTCCTAAGCTTCCAGTTGTTTTTTTCTTCTTTCTTTGTTTGAAGCATACCTAAGCTGTAATTATAAAATGGAAAAGGAAGGTCTTTGTGAAGCAGAAAGTCTTATTTGTAGATACAGATCAGATCCACATGTACTGGTTCTGGTGCTGAAAATAGGGCAGTCTGGTGGAGCTAACCCACTATCTTGTCCTTAGTGGCTGCTTTTTTCCATGAAAAAGCACAACAAAGGCAGTGTAGTGACAGCTCATCTGTCCCCTCCCCTTTTATTTTGATATCAGCACACACTGCAGTGGAAATTTCCACTGCCTGTCTATGTGAGCAGGAGGAGAAAAAAACCTGAAGTTGTAAACCATCCTCTCTTTTTTTTGGTCCAAATCTGTTTTCATTTTAAAGGCACAACATGAAAGCAGCTTACTATTCTCAGGTGGTAAGGTAATAGAGCAGGAGATAAAAACATTAAAAGGGCTCTGCTGCGAGTGTATAGTGCTTGGGGATCATTATATATGGGATGCAGGCATTATATGAACAGAATGTTTTGCATCACTTTAATTGGGTAGGATTAGATGAATTATAAGATCCAGGGAAATCTTGTTGCGCCGCCACCCCCCAGCCCAATTCTTCCCTCACTCTGTTTGTAGTAAGATCTCATTCAAATTTGATTACTAAATTCCACATAAAAGACAGTGGGGTGGACCTCCTTGACCAGAGTCAGCCAAGACTAGATCTTTAAACTGGCACTCTATAAATTCTATATCTGTGCACATATATATTTATATATATATGTTTGTGTTTTCTGTACTGTCAAGTCAAAATCGACTTACAGCATCTCTAGCAGGGCTTTCAAGGTAAATTATATATTTAAGAAGTGTTTTACCAGTTCCACCCCACCCCCCCAGTGAGTTTCTATGGCCAAATGGGGATTTGAATCCTATTCTCCGGAATCCTAGTCTGTCAGTCTGTCCACTACACCACACTATGAATCCATACACACATATATGGATATATAATTTTCTGTATGCCAGTTTGAGGATCTAATCTTTAATGACTCTGATCAAGGATGTATGTGTATGTGTATGCTGGCAGGATAGCTTGGTGTGTTAGGTATTTGGCTGCAGGCCCAGAGACTGGGAGTTTGATTCCCCATTGTGCATCCCAGAAGAGCCAGCTGTATGGCTTTGAGCAAACTGCACAGTCCCAGGATAGCCCCAGAAGGTAAGAATGGAATGGTAGGCCATTTCTGAACATTCTCTGTCTAGAAAACCCTGGGTTATATCAGTCAGAATTGACTTGATGACATTGTTGTCATTGTTGTACATGTGTCATTCTTCATATGCCTCTTAATTCATTATTAAATGATTCTGTGCTTGCCAGACTACAATGATCATGGTTCATACATAAATCGGTTGCATATATGTAGCGCATCTTGAGAAGAAAGGCAGGTTATAAATATTTCAAATAAACAAACAAAATGTGTTTCGTGTATACTTTTATTTTATTCCTTTAAGAGAACTTTCTCATTGCAGATAGGATACAGTATTTATCTGGATAGTTCCAATCAGGACTTAAGTGACACAAAGGCATATCCGTTTCTATCTGTGCTGGGAATGCTTTATTTCCATTTTGTTTTAATTTGTATAATGTTTTCGGAACATCCCTATATGTGAAGCGCAAAAGAAATGTATGTTGAGTATGTTGGACTACAACTCCCATTGTCCTCAGTTATTATGACTCCAGTGGACCCTTGACTTACAGACGGCTTGAGTTACAGACTTCTCTGGCCGCAAAATTTAGGTTTGACTTGCAGCCTGAGAATTGACTTACAGACCAGAAAAAACCCAAAATGGAACAAAAACGGCCTGTTACGGGATTAATTGGTTTTCAATGCACTGTAGGTCAATGGAGACTTGACCTACAGACTTTTTGACTTGAGAACCGCCTTCCAATACGGATTAAGTTCTCAAGTCAAGACCCCACTGTATTGAAGAGCCTCAAGTCAGGAAAGGGCATTTTAATCAAACAACAGCCTCCAATTATCCACTATTGTAGGATACTATTATCCCTGGGAGCTAGTTGCTAAGATTGCTAGCAAAATCCCTAGTGACAATAACTTAGGGTTCAGAATTAGATGATGACATATAAAGCATTGCATCTAGTTAGCCCTTCCTATAAATAGAACAGTTTCTGTCACTTTAAAAGGAAGATGTATGTATTCCCTACTCCCCTGGAGGCTGGGTCTCCTCAAAATCTGGTTTGTAGAGGCCCAGAGGTGCCACCCCTGTAGAGGAACTACAGGGGTGGTAGGGGAAATTCTTGTTGTGCGAGTGGAAATCACCTGGAATTTTACTTCTCTTGGTATTGGCCCACACCTTTTAAAAAGTATTATAATTGTACTGCATTTTAGGACCCAGTACATCAATATTCTCTCTGATAATGAAATATTTTATGTATAAAGTTTTAAAGGAATCATATTATTTTAAAAGGAATGTTCGTGCTCTACCTATCAAAAATGTTTTAAATGACAAAACCTTCTTAAAATGGCTTTAAAGGTATGGGCCACTTTGAGTCATGTTCAAACAAAATAATTCCGAACTTCTGAGCATTTTCTGAAAATAATTCAAAACTCACATTATTTTCCCAGATAATTAGAACATTTTCAGCAGCTTAAAATTACATATTGTTTTGGAAGCATCCATACAGTGCCATCAGCACTAATTAATATTGTTGTATCGTTGTTGCCTCTGTCTATGGCAACTATATGAAAGAGATATCCAAAAAAGGAAAAAAAATAATAAGAAAGTCCTGTCCTGAACATTCCTGCTCAGCTCTTAGGAAGTCAATCTGTTTGTATTTGTTCTTCCTCTTTTCCTGCTGCCCTCAACTCTTCCCAGTATTATTGTCTTTTCCAGAGAATCCTGTTGTCTCCTTATGTGCCCAAAGTAGGACACTCTGTTTCGTCATTTTTGCTTCCAGAAATAGTTCAGACCTCATTTGCTCTAGGACCCACTTATTCATCTTCCTGGTAGTCCAGGGTATCTACAAAGCTTTCCTCCAGCATCGTATTGCAAGTAAATCAGTTTTTTTTCCTGGTGGCTTTCTTTACTGTCCAACTTTAACACCCCATACATAGTGATTAGGAATACAAGAGTGGATAGATAATTTTTGTTTCCACTGACACCAAAAGTCACTGGAGACCAAAAGATCATCAAGTTTCCTTATTCTTGATGCTCTTTTTAAATTCCTCCATTGCTAACCTTTTGAGTCTCAGTCTTCTGATTTCTCGGCTGCAGTCTCTATCTGAATTGATGATTGAAGCAAAGTACTGTATACAAAATCTTTACTTATTTTTCAGTTTCTTCATTGTCAACAGTAAATTTGTATAGTTTTTCTGTAGCAGGCTGGACAGCTCAGTGCTTTAGGTATCTGGCTGTGGAGCCAGAGGTTGGGAGTTTTATTCCTCACTGTGTTTCTTGTGAGTAGAGCCAGTCTGTGTGGTCTTGGGCAAGCTACACAATCCCAAGCCACCCTCAGACGAAGGGAATGGGAGATCACTTCTGAGTATTCTCTACACGGGGAACCCTGAAAAGGGTTGCCATAAATCAGAATTGATTTGATGACACATGATTATTATTATTTGTTCTTCTGTAATAATGATATATAATGATATATATATTCAACTGCAGTTCTTGGGCATTTTCTTTTTCCGTTTCCACAAAAGGTTGTTTCAAGTCATTGCTGCTTTCTGCCAAGTAAGATGGTGTCATCTGCATATCTTAAATTATTGATGTTTCTCCCAGCAGTTTTCATTCCTCCTTTATCTGAATCTAGTCTGGCTTTCCATATGATATATTCTGCATACAGATTGAATTAAGAGGATAAAATGCATCCTTGTCTGACATCTTTGCCTAGAGGAAACCATGCTATCTCTCCATATTCTCTCCTAATAGTAGCTTCTTGTCCACAATACACATTATGCATCAGGACAGTTTTCTGCCTTACTAACTACCCAGTGCTAGCTCACAAGCCCCACTGGAGATTATGATATTCATTACTATGTTGTTCCCCTTTGTTATCTATAGCCTGGGATTAATTAAGCCACCAATTGTTGTCATTGTTTACTGAACAATGTTTCCTGGAGGGGGAGCTGAATATCAACAGGGGTGCTAATGGTTGTTGCCCAATGTGAAATGCCAGATAATCAGTTACTTTTGTCCAGGAAACAATTAGTCTCTTTGATTTGGGGCCTTGTATAACTGTATAAATATTTGCCATGCTGTCCCACTGTCATGTCTGGAGAAGTGGACTTGTCCACAGAAGCACACATTAAAATATTGTTGTCTTTTTTAAAAAAATTCTTTTTGCCTGACATACTAGTATAGACTAATACCGCTATCTCTTATAAAACTAAGTTTGGTTAAGAGGTTAAATTGATATACAAAGTATTCACAAATTCTTACTTTGTTACTATTATTTTCTTTTCCACTCCCCAGGTACTTCTTGGTAGACTTTGAATCTCCACCAACAGTTGTTTCAGCCACGCTGGAACACTTAGAACGTGACATTGATATAATCAGATCTACTATAGTAAAGCATAATGAAATAAAGAAAGAAGAATGTGCAGGCATCGATCCAGTCAGCCGTGCAGAAAGACTAATGGAGAAGAAAAAAATAAAGAAATAAAAACCACAGAGATATTATAACCACTGATTTGAAACCAATTGTAAGCATGTATAATTGATGCATAGTAACTAATGATGGTATTGACATGGAATATGGAATGTTGTTTCAGCAGACTGTGGAGTCTGGTGCTTTTGCTGCAAGTTGGAGTTCCTCTGTCTCTGTATATTTGATAATCAGGGTGTGTCTTTTCCTTTTAGAGCAGCGGTCCCCAAACTTTTTGGGGGCCACGGACTGGTTGGGGGGAGTGAGCTCCATGCGTGCGGGGGCACCCCCGCACTTGTGTGGTGGGCGAGTCACGCTGACACGGTGGTGTGTTGCACTTGCAGGGGGCGTGCTGTGAGCGCGACACACCCCTGCAGGCGCAACACACTCCTGCAGGTGTGACACACTCCTGCACGTGTGACGCCCACTGTGAGCATGACACGCCCCCATGCGGGTGTGACACACATGCTGCACATGTGTGTGTGTGGGGGTGGAGATCCATACCCGTGGCCCAGTTCCGGCAAGCCCACAGACCAGCACCAGGCTGCGGACGGGGTTGACGACTCCTGTTTTGAAGTATTACAGTGTTCAACTTCAATCTGTTGTTGAAGTTATCCTTGCCCCCAAAGGCTATGGTTTCCATCTTGTGTGCCTTTAATTGTGAGTAAATCCCACCCTGAAGCAAAGGAAATTGCTTCCGAATAAATATGTGTATGATTTGGAACATACATTGATAGTACTTTTCTGCAATATCAATATTATATAATGTGAATATGGAAACTTTTAAAATTAATGTAATAAAATTCCCAAATCAAGCCATATACAGTATACAGTCTGGTTTATAAAGCATAGTAAAAGGGAAGAAACTACAGTACAATGTAAATTCTGTTCACTACCACTCTGCTTCTTGATTTTAATGCAGGTAAACTCTGCTGAATGCTAGTTTAAGTGCTATATTTAAAAGCATTTAATGGGCTAAATTTTTTATTTTATTTTTCAGAATAGAGCTAGATAGCAATCTTGCTGGCCCCCCAATAATGTATGTTGTCCTAAACAAAAACTTATCTATTGTCTCATCCTTTTTCATATGCAATTGGTATATAGGCTTGATAGTTTCACAATACAAAGTATCTTCTGTGAATATTCAATCTATGATTCTGTGATGAACAATTCAATAAAACTTTAATTTCACTATTTTATTCTCAGGGTATTAATATCAATAACATCAAGGTAAGTTTAACTTTATGCAGAGGGAGGCAAAGAAAAAGATTCTAGGGGAGCAGTTCCTCCAGGCACCCCATGAGTCATGCACACTACCTTGCTGTATCAGTTGTTCCACTTGAAACAGCATTCACAAAGAGATTTAGCCTGCACTTAGCAGATTGGTGATTAGAGTGACTCTCCAACTCTGAAGGCTTGTGTTCCATATTAAGTCCTTGCTTTCATATACATACAGTGTTCTGTAGAGCCTGAGCCTGAAAACCTATGCTCATACCTGCTTGTTCTATTCTAACAAAAATCAGTAGTCATTGCCTGTTGACTGAAGCAAGAAAGGATGGTATGAAAAAACAACCATGTGTCCCTTAAGGGAAAAGCAGGTCATCATGCTAAAAAAAGCCAGAGAAAACTTAAAGGCATTACTGTCTGATGTGTCTCTTCCAGTGTCAGCTAGGGAGAGAGACTTGCTGGGGGAAAAAGGTTACAAAGAGCTAAGCAGGGCCCTAAATAGTTATTTCTCTAAATTGCAAACTTATATATGAACAGTCCACTGTTTTATTCACTAATTGACACCAGTTTATGCTGATACAGATCCACATCTTTCAGTCACCTCATCTGCCTCGCTCCACATGTTCCTTTTTCATTCTAAATGTGAATGAATTTAATTTTCAGGTCAGTAATCAACTATTTTAACCTTTTGTTGTTATTATTATTATTAATTTTTTAAAAGCCCCCAATAGAACTGAAACTTTGTTATGAGGGTGTACACTGACTTCATTCCGAAGTACTGTATCCCTGCATATAGTACTTTTCAGTAAGTTTAAGCAAGAAGACAGCAAATCTTTCTAGGATCACCTAGAAAATAAGTAGTTCAACAGTAATTTTATTTTTATGACGGAAAATCATGCAGTGTCATTTGTCTTCAATTTGCTTGCATCTGTTACCTTTTTAAATATCACAAAGTGAAGGATATTTGAAGTGCTGAAATGACTGTCAATGATGTAATTATGGCCAAAGTCAAAAGAGTGTCTTTGGCCATAATTATGATTCCAGCCTCAGGGATGGCAAGAAGAACTAAAGCATTTGCAAAGTGTAGTGTCTTTCAAATAAGAGCTCACAGAAATGTCCCCAGTAAGTAGAAGTAAACAACACAGTTCTCTTAGCATGAACTAACATGACTGACACTGAGGCTATTTAGTATGTCTATGAGTTTTTGGAGACAAATGGGACTAAACAAACATCAGCAAAGCCAACTTTGCGATGGCTTGAATCTAACTGGTAAATTTCAAAACCCAGTTCTGTTCTGTTGAAAGTAATGGGTTCTGCACCCCATAGCATCAGTAGACATAGGATTACTTTATTTCCAATAAATTATCTCTCCTTTTGGAAAGGCAAGACCAGTGTGATGTGTATAGACCTTTGTATTCAGGAGATCTGGGTTCAGATCTATACTCCCATATGGAAATTCACTGGGGTGCAGCAAACTATTCCTTGTACCACTAACATTTTGGGTCACAATAAGCTGGAAATGACTTGATAGCACATAGCAATGACAATGAGAAGAGTGGAGAAAAGAGAATCCAAATAAAATGAATGGTCTAGAGCAACTCCTCTGTAAGGGAAAGCTACATGGAGGGTTCTGAGCTTGGAAAGACAGCATTTGGACAGAACAGTTGAAGGGTTTTGCTTGCCTGTCATTTATTCAATGGGTTTTCTGTTTTTCAGCCAAGTCCAACAAAGATCCTGCTTCTATCCTGTGTGTGCAATTGGATTTGCGTTTTAAGCTGTGTTATGTAAAATTGACAGGCTCCATAAAAATACTTAAATTACTTTTTGTGGATGAAGATGATGGCAGCAATGGCAGTTGCTCTTCCACTTGGCTGAGTGCCCATCGTGACTTTTTTTAAAAGGCAGTGACAAATCTAGCATAAGAGAAAGTTTCCTTTGATACCAGCACTGGCCTGGGATAATAAAGACAGTTTAAAGTCTGTTGGATAAGGTAGGGTTTCAGGGTCTTCCTAACACAGTCATACATAGTATTCTGTGGTCCTGAATACTAAACATTGATTTTCCAAATCATGTGGTGGCAAGCTGTGGATTTCTTCCAGCTCATTGGTTTTCCTTTAGAACATTTACAACTATATCCCTCCTTGGAACTATGTGCAATTATGATGTCTCAGAAATGAAAATATTTTAACTACTAACAGTCTAAACATAAAAGGTTACATCATCCTTCAACTATTCCAATTAACTATCCCAGTTTCCTCAGGAATGTGCAGAAGAATTTTATAGAAATTCACTTCATAATGCTAGTGGAATAAAGGTGAGCTAAATACATTTCAGGACATTTGGAGAGCAATTTCAGAGGGGTTCTGCACATTATCAACATCCGATTTTCAAGAATCAGTGGCCTATGGGTATCGAAAGCTTAATTATATTTAGTTTATTCTAATTATATTCTTTCTCTGATCATTTCTGTCTTGCATCATAATTGATTATTCTCAGATAAGTCTTTTTAGCTCGTTTGGTCTCTATACAGCCACATTCGTGCAAGTACTACACTGGACAGTTTACACAAGATTATAACTTGCAATACGTCACAATTAAAAAAAAGTGAAAACAGATTTCAGCAGCTTGAGCTGATGTTTTGGGTGTGGCCCCTTCTGGACAAAGCATATTCACAAAACTCATGACCTCATGGCAATAAAAGAACACTCCAGATTCAGTCCCTAGCATTTCTGCTTATAACTCACATGAGCAACCTTTAGAATTTGAAGGTAGAACACACCCAACTGTTGAGGACCTGCTTCTATGGCCCCATGAAATGTCTGCTTTTTTCCTGTTTTCAGTAGCTTGTGCACCTGTGGCCCTACCTGGACAAATCCCTAACAACATTGGTTGATGCATTGGTAATCTCTAGGAGCGACTACTGCAATGCTCTCTATGTCTGCCTGCCTTTGAAGGTGATATGGAAGTTTCAACAGGTGCAAAATGTAGCAGGCAGATTTGTATTGGGAGTTTGAAGATATGATCACATCTCCCTGATTCTGGCACATCAGTATTGGCTCCTTGTATGCGCCCGTGCCAAATTCAAAGTGCTGGTATCTATAAAGCCCTTAATGATTCAGGACCTTGTTATCTGAGAGACCGTATCCCTAAGATTTTCTACCCATGCCAATCTGAGCCAGTCAGGTTTCGCGTTTCCATATAGCCACTCCCAGAGAGGTCAAAAAAACAATGCTATGGAATGTGCTTTCTGCAAATTTATGCCAGGATCCTTCCCTTCTGGACTTCAGAAAACAGGTGAAAATTATATTGTTTGAAGAGGTCTTCAGACACATATTCCCCATCTGACATCTTCTTAATTCTGTTAAGTGGCTATTGTTTTGATTTGTCATCTAGGTTTCTTTTTCTTTAGATATTCAGGGTTTTAATCATAGAAGCATAGAATAGAAGCACAGCATAATGAAGTTGGAAGGGGCCTATAAGGCCACTGAGTCCAACCTCCTACTTGATTCAGGAATACAAATCAAAGGATAGCTGCCAGATGGTTGTTTAAATTTCTCTTGAATGCCTCCAGTATTGGAACAGTCACCACCTCTCGTAATTGCTTCCATTGCTGTACTGCAGTGCACACTAATAAGTTTAATCTGTGCTTGTGCAGAGGTCTCTGGAATGTTCTAAAGCTTCTTTGCTACGTTTGTGAAGGACCGCACCCCCAGCCCACGAGGTCCGCCCGCCCTCTCATGTACCTCAGTTCCTTTTTGCCGCCGCCGCATGAGATCTCTCTCTCTCATTGAGCTGCTGCGTTCATCTTCTTTTTTCTCTAAAAAGGAATATTAGGACCGATTTCAATCTTCAGTACTCTTAAAATCTCCACTAGATAAGTAAATACTGTAATTTGGACTCCATCCCCCCCTTCCCCCCGCTTCCTGCCATTTATGGCAACCCTGCCCAACTTCAAGAAGTGCACATTTGTGAATAAAATTCCCCTTACTGACGGCCATAATATCTGCCTGTTCTGCTTAGGGAAAACCACATCTTGTCAGTTTTGTAAAACCTTTACAAAGCAAGCTTTGAAACTGAGGCAACAGAGACTAAAATCCTTTCTCTGGGAAAAATCCCTTAAGCCTCAGACTATGGCCCCGCCTCATAGAGGAGAATCTACCATCCAGTTAATAATTTCTTCAACATTTTCTTCTGATGCTAAATCTAAAACTACTAGAAAATCAAAATTGAAAACATCACCGAGAGCACCCTCGGTTTCAAAAGCCTCCGAGTCAAAAAAGCGGAAAAAAGTAGACCAGACCCTTCCTCAAGAGTCATTTCTACAAAAACCAACTATGGTGACTATCATGTCCTTGGACTATGTTATGATACAACCATCTGGCCAATTAGAGTCACCCAGTCTGGCTGTTTCTTCACAATCCCCGATCAATACAGTGGAGGTTGCAGTGCTTTCTCGATCATGACACTCCAGTCCACTATCGACTGTGAGAGCAGTGTCACCGTCTGGATCTGACCACTCTGATCAGGCACCCCACGTTTCTCCTCCCACCAAAAGGTGGAGAAAACACCATAATATGTCACAGAGACGATCC